CTCAGTCCTTAAGCACCTGCCTTCAGCTCAGGTCATGATCCCATGGTCCTGGGATCGAGTCCCACATCTGGCTCCCTGCTCAGCGGGAAATCTGCTGCTCCCTCTCCCACTCTCCCTGCTTGTGTTCCCTCCCTTGCTGTGTTTCTCTCTGTCAAATAAATAAATAAAATCTTAAAAAGAAAAAGAATACACCCCATTTTCCCATTAGTTTTTAATGCCAAGTAAGTCTAAATTTTGTCCTTGACATTATGAATATTGTTTTTGAGTCTCTGGATTCTGTTTTATTCCCCTCTAAGGAGGTGATGCTTTTGTTTAGCAAGAAATTAACTTAGTTTGAAACAAACTGAAAATTTTGTCTTGCATGTAGTGGATAACAGCTTGAATGTTTCAGTTCTTTTATCTGGATGAGTAGAAGGAAATTCATTTTGAGTTCTTTTATCTGAGCTGTTGTATTCTGTCTTTGTTATTTTAATTGAATTAGGGTTTAGACAGAAATTGTCTGAGTACATATACAGAGTTTAGAGTTCTCTGGTTCTCTTTTTTGGAATTCCTCCCTCATTCTCTAGCTGCCCTGGGCTCCCTCCTCTTGCTTTCTCAGGCTAGAAAGATAGCAGGCATTCTGTGTGGGATTTTGCCACCTTGTACCACACCACAATTTTTGTCTGTCCATAGGTCAAAGCCGTTCAAGATGGGACATGCATTCTGTGTTGGTAACTTCCCACACAATTCTGTGTGCTTCTGTCTACTCTCTTGACTCCTCAGGTTGTTGTTTTACTGTCTGGAGTTTCCAATTGTTACCTGTGGAAAGGTCAGTTTGTTATAAGTCTACTTCTCCATACTAGAAGAGGAACTCTCCAAACCAAAGTAATAAAAAAATTATCTTTTTGCATATAAATAATGAATTATAAGAATTATGTATGCTTGAGGTGCCTGGGTAGCTCAGTCAGATAAGTATCCCACTCTTGGTCTTGGCTCAGGTCTCCTTCTCAGGGTCAATAGTTCAAGCCCTGTGTTGGGTTCCACACTGGGCATGGAGCCTACATAAAAAAGGGTTGGGGGGGAGGCCTGGGTGGCTCAATTGGTTAAGCATCTGACTCTTGATTTTGGCAGCTCAGGTCATGATCTCAGGGTCATGAGATCAAGCCCTGCATCTGGCTCTGTGCTGGCATGGAGCCTGCTTAAGATTTCCCCTTTCCCCGTGCCCCAGTCCCCCTGCCCCACACACTCTCTCTCTAAAACAAAAACAAAAACAAAAACGCATGCATGCTTGATCTAAGGATTTTGTTTTTGGCATGTGTGTTTAAGGGAAATTTCCCTCTACCTATCCTACCTGTCCTTTCCTAACCACCATGTTACTATTCGTAAGAGAAGTTTATTTTCTTATTCTGTTTCAGATTGTCTAATAATCACCCTTTAATAAGCTGATAGGCAACAAACCTATAAATCCAAGTCGGTGCTATTCAGATTATGGTTTGCCAATCAGTGCCTATACATGAACTACTGATTGCCTGTTCCTGATGAGATGAGAGCAGAATTTTGAATATGTGCTTAGGCACCTTCATGTAACTTTCATGAAGTCATTTTAGATCCCTCACATAAGAAAAAAAAATTGGTCTTGCATTTTGCCTGCCTTCAGTTTTTGTTAAGTTTCATTTATTTAGTAACTAATTTTTATATTTTAAAAAAGCATTGGTTGATAATAGCTTGGAAATTAAAAATAAAACACTGGTTCTTCCCATAGATTATTTGAGAAACGCTGGCCCAGATTTCAAATAAGAAAATTACTTTTTGGCAGGTCTTTAAGTTAACCATTTAATAGGAGAGATTGAAAGAGGACTTCAACTACCTCCATTTTGACCTCTGTCTATACGTTTTAATTGATTAAGTTCTTTTTTCCAGCTTATTTCTTAACTCAGGCAAAAGATCCTGTGGGCAAAGCATCCCCTGATTGGGAACAAAACTACACCCTCAAGCAGTAAGGACTGCCCTGAGCCAGCAAGACTCTGCCCATGGTCCAAGACTGACTCTGAGATAATGATCAGTTTAACCTTTACTGCCCACCTGCACATACCCACAGACTTTGGCCCCACAGACTTTAAGATTTTCTTAAAACATTTTCCTTTTATAAACTTAGAAGTATTTTCAGCACTTTGGAGATAGTTGAGAGGATAGTGTGCTGTTTTCCCATTGTTGATCTCACTGAAATACATTCCTTTCTTGTTTCCCCACCACTAGTTTTCTCTGTCTTTGGATTTTGTCAGTTGGGAGTGGCTGCACCTGGTCTGTTTGGGAATCCCTGGAGCCAGTGATCTTGCACACCTGTGCCCCAGGGTACACGATAAACTTATGCTGTAATTTAATTTTAGCAAAAGTTCCTGAAGACCTTGTTCTTTTAAAAGACAAGAAAACTGAGGTGAAGAAAGTCCTAATCAAGGTGATTTCTCTTGGGTAAATGACACAGCAGCCAACATGTCAGAAAAAGAATTAAGCACTAATTTAACTTTCACCTGAGAGTGTTCATTCCTTGTTGTTCACACCCTCAGAAATTACTGCTTTAATAATTAGAAGTAAAACAGTAAGTTCAGAGGAAGAACAAATAATAATAGCAACAGATCCATTGATGGAGATCCTTCTGTGCAAACAACTCTGTATAGGGAAAAACAATTATTTTATGTGGATATTTTTATTCCCATTTTAGGGATGAGAAAGCCGTGTTGGAGAAGCAACTTAATTGAAATCATAGAGCAAGTAGGTGAGAGAGTCAGGATCCCAATTCAGATTTGTCTGGTTCTAAAATCTCTACACTAACTTTATTTATTTGATTTTTAAGTAATTGCCTCACCCAACATGGGGCTCGAACTCACAACCCCAAGACCAAGAGTCACATGCTCTACTAACTGAACCAGCCACGTGCCCCGCATTATTGTTATTAATCCCCAGATAGACTCATATACAAATTATTACATCATTAGGCAGATGATTTCAAGTGCTCTATTAACACAGTCCTAAAAACAACTGGGCTGTAGAGAGTGCTTGGGTCTCCCTCATCAGTCTTCACCAAACCTAGCCTAGAAAAATCTATGTCATAGTATCAGGTGACAGTGAGTCAGCATTTTGGAAGGTAGGTAGAAATCAGGAATCAATAAGCAAATTCTTTATGAATCATTGTAGATGTTTATGCTTGTTAAGTGTTTCTAACTGCCTATTGTCTTTGCCTATTAGAGGAGTACAGTTAAAGGCCTTTTTAAAAACTATATACATAAAAACTATCAGCTGCCATCCTATCCTTGCCAAGCTGGAGAATGGAATGGAAAGGCAAAGACTTTTGTGCTTAAAAACATTTTAATAAATATGCTGAACAAAACTAGGTTAGGTTGTTCTTTTGGGGAACGTACTTGCAAGTCAATATTTCACCGACCCTATATTTTAAGATTTTCTTAAAACATCATTAAATCTAGTTTAAATGAACATAATTCTACTTATCCTAGCAAGGAAGGTTTTTTTTTTAAACGATTCGTTATTTTTTTTTTTTACAGAAATAATTTTTGCATCATTTTATACTTCAGACATGAGGTAACTGTGATTCAGTCTCAGAAAAATTTCTTTATGCTCTCCTTTTGTCCTTCCTGTGTCTTCCATAACAGAAAATTACCAGCAGAAACATTTCCCCTTCACCCAATGCCTATTCTCTTATCACAGTTTTCTCTCTACCCTCCCTTCCTGCTCTGCAGGGGAATTTGAGAGGGCAGGGGAAGAGTGCTAGAGTTTGTTCTCTATCCAACACCACAACATACAATAGTGTATGTGTTTAATTCTTTTTGCATATTAGTTCCCATTTTCCTCTTCCATACCTCCTTGTGTTCAATGGACTAATGCCAGTGCTTTGCCCCTGCACACTGCCAGGCCACAGAGACTTCAATCCGAATCAGAGCAGGGCTGAAAATTTCTGCTTTTCTAGTGTCCTTTCTACAATGCTGGGCCGGTGATGTAATGACGATATTATGAGGAGCATTAATTTTTTTCCTACCTGTCTTGTACTTTCTCCACTATCTTCCCCATACCAATCACTTCTTACTTCTCTTCCACCCTTCCTATATATTCCTGCCCTATACCTATCATTTTTTGAAGTTGTATTAAAAACCGTTTATATGCATGAACACATCACATCCTAACAACCCTTACGAAGTAGGTAGTAATACTAACAGCTAATATTTGCGTGCTTACTATGAGCCAAAATTTAAGCATTTTACATGTATTATTTCATCTAATCTGTGAAGTTATTATTTTTCCTATTTTACAGGTAAGGAAGCTGATGTTCAATACCTTGGGTTATGCTGCAAGCGATCGGCAGAGGCAGGATTTGAATTCGTGTCTGACTGGTTAAAGCAACTTTTAATCACTATTTGATAATTATTTATTATTTTCAGCCCCAAATCTGGTGAACACTTTGCCATCTCTAGTACCCTCATCCGTTGTGTCTCCCTAGGTTCTCTTCCCCTCTTCGTGCCCCGCCCCATGTCCTTTCCGCCCCTTCATCCTACGGTTCGCCCGCACTCCTCTACTATCCTGTCTTCTCCCCTATTCCTGTCTCAGTCACCCCCATTCCTAAGATCCTTGTCCCTTTCTTTCCTTTTTTTTTTTTTTTTTTTTTTGAGACCCTCGTCCCTAGTATTCCCTATTTCTCTCTACTTCTGAAATTCTCCCTCCTCCTGTGGGGTCCTCGTCCGCACTCCCCCAGGCCCCGACCCCAGCAGCAAGGGAACCTCTCACGCCGGGAAGGGCACCTCGCCTTCCCAGAGCCCAGAGGCAGCGCGGGGCACGCAGCGAGCGCACGTAAGGAGCGCAGCGCGTCGGGGCTGCAGTCGAAGGGGAGCCGCGGGGTCCTCCGGCTCCTCGGCAGACCCCGGGCGCGGTGCAGTCTGGGGGAACATGGCCGCTTCCGGTTTTTCTCCCGGGCCGGCGCTAGCCTGACCGCGGCCTCGGCCCGGCGCACTCCGCCCTCCGCTGCTCCCGCCCCGCAGCCGCGGAGGTCGCTTCAGCCTTTCCCTCCTGCTGCCCCCGCCGCGCCATGGAGAAGAGCTCGAGCTGCGAGAGTCTTGGCTCCCAGCCGGCCGCAGCACGGCCGCCCAGCGTGGATTCCCTGTCCAGGTAACCAGGATGCCCAGGGCCCCGCCCAGCGCCCGAGAGGGATGGAGAGGGGCCGGGGACCCACTGGATGGTGCCCCAGCTCTTCGACTTGCTTCCCGAAGGCTGCGCCGAAATTCCTTTCCTGCGACTTGGGAGCCACTTCTTCCTCCCTCTTCGGGGTTTAGAGGCTGGGAAAAACGGGAGGTTAAAACTCACTGCTGCTTAATTGGTGACTCTACTTAAAACGATCGTGGTTTATCCCTGGTTGAGGCAGCCCCAGTTCATTGGTTTCTCTTGTTTCTCATTACCTCTCGGATTATTTTTTTGGACAGCCCCCCCCCCCCCAGCCACCACCCCTCATTTCCTCTCTGCCTTTCTTTACTATACACTTTTCCAAACAGTTCTCCAGTCTTTGTTCCATCTGTCTGTGTGCCCTTGATTTTGGGATTCTTGCCCACCCTTTCCTCTTTTTCCGTCACTTCATTTCCTTATGTCTTTAATGATTTTCCCTATACTCTGACCCCTTCCCCCCATTTCGCCTTAAAAATGTAAATAAAAATGCCCACTGTACGTCTTTTTTCCAGATCTTCCAGCTGAAAATAATTATCTAGGAATCTGAGCAGTCCTTAACCCCGAGTGAATAATGAGTGGTAGTTTTCTTCCTTCTTGGGCTACCGATTCTCCTGGTTATTCTCTTGTACCAGATGCCCCCCAACCCCTATGTTGAGAAGGACTTTAGTATGCAGTTTTGTAGACAGCTGTTGTGAATATTAACTAGACATGTTTTAGATGAATATTTTCCCTTTGGTTTTAAAATAGTGATGTAAAATTTTAGGAAGAAATAATAGAGGACCTCTATTTGTTATGTAGCCACAACGAAATCAGGTTCTTTCCCATCAAAAAATAGTCAATTATTATTAAAGAGTTATTGGATACTAATCTGTGAAAACACAAATTTCATTTTTCTCTGAATAAAGAGAAGTTTCTCTCTTTTAATTCATTTTGGACCCCACTAAATTTGGGTGACACAGCTATGTTTTCCTATTACTGCTCAGACCTTATGGGAAATTATTAGCTGATTCTGTTATTATAAATTAGATTCTCTTTCTAAAGCACTCATAGCAACCTGCCCACACCTTTTTCAGAGTTCTTAACAAACACAGTGTAATTGTTGGTTTAATTGACTTTTCTACTTGAGGACAAGGACTATATCTTTTCTTCTATGTTCAGCATTTAACAAAGACCCTGCATGTTAGAGTGCTAAATAAAAATCTCCTTGAATCTGTAGATGTAATTATCCAGGGGAGGAGAATTTTTCTTTGCATTCAATCACATATACTGTACATTTGTTTTAGGTATTTAAAAAATTTTATGCTTATTACTCTGAAATTTAGAGAGTGGAGGATTTACATTCTCAGCTGTAAAATTATGCAGAAAACAGGTTGGAATTGTAATTTTATAGGCAAGTTATGAATGGCAGCTATGGTTCAGAATAGAATGTAAAGAAAACAAATGAAGGAGCCAGTAATCTCACCCAAGCAGTAGAATTTGGAACCACAGGAGGCAGCATAGTCTTTTAGAATGAAGAAGGTGCTGGAAGTTAAGAGGCTCAGGCTCTTAAAAGTCCCTGGCTCTGCTAGCTTTTTGGCTTGTATCATTGAACCTTTCTAGTCTGCAGTTTTCTCATCTTCAAAATAAAGAAGTTGATATTTATACAGATCTTTGAGGGATCTGTAAGGTCCCTTGGTGCTCTAAAGTTCTATCATTCTAGACTATTCAATGACAATAGTGATTATGATGCCTTCTTATCAATTACTAAGATATTCCCTTTATAGATTTTTGAAATTATACTAAATAAATGTTTGTTATTACAAATTAACGTTCCTAATTGTGCCACCGAAGCACATTTAATTCCCCCCCCAAGAAAGCCCAGTAACTTTAAAGTTTATATATGCTTTCTAATTCTGAATTAAAAAATTACATTACTAACATATGAATTTGAAAAAAACTAACTCCTTGAAAGAGTTTTCACTAGAATATTTTAGCCTCATCCTCTCTGGACAAAAAAAAAAGTATGATCTACTTTCCATAGGAGAATGCCAGCTTTCATTCCTTTCCTCTGGAAGGTAGAAAAAACTACATTTATTGAATGTCTGCTATGTAGAATTCACCCTGCTGAATTTTTTCATGTCTTTTATTTTATGAATCATTACACCTGGTTGATCAACGGTATAGAATAGCTGCATTGTAGGCACTTGTTACCTTAAATTTAAAATTAATCTAGGCAAACAATTATAGAGGATTCTAATGCAGAGGCAGGGTAGACAGCCATGATTCTAATAGCTATGCTAAGTGGCTATCCAGTTGTTTGAGTTTTACTTTGATAGTCTATAATAAAGCAAAATATCGATGTTTGGATTGTATTGTTTCAGCCTTTTGTGGAAATGTTGTTCTTAAATTGTAGTTTATTTTTATCCCTTCTGTTTTTTACAATTAGGAAATTTTCAATTTTTCAATTAGGAAATTGCCATATGAATTTGTTTCAATACTAACTCTACAATAATAGTATGTTCATTGTGTTCCCATATGTCTTTTATACACTAGATTTACAAAAATTTCTGCTGTGTTTAGCTTCAGGAAAAATTATTTATGCAAAAAAGTGTGCTTCCTATTTGTTTGAAAATGCAAACTATGTAACTGCATGTTTCTCTTCAATTTAGCAAAAAGACTTCAGTCAAATATATGACTGAAGTTGGTAATATATGCCTATCTAATTTCTTCAAATACTTCTATTAGATTAATTCAGTTTAAATATTATATTTAAATGTGCTAATTTGTAAGTTGTTTTATGCTTTTCTGAGAAATAAGAGTATAAGTCTGAAAAATTATACACTAATCCTTCTGGTTGCCCATTGTTTTTTTGAAAAGGACACACTCCACTGAAGTTGGGTGACAGGCTTTTGTGGGGTCTGTAGTTCACACTAAACTTAAGTTGAGGCTTGTGGCACCTGGGTGGCTCAGTCAGTTGAATGTCTGACTCTTGGTTTCAGCTCAGGTCATGATCTTGGGGTCTTGGGATTGAGCCTGGAGTCAGGCTCCATGCTTATTACAGAGTCTGCTTGAGATTCTCTCCTCCCTCTCCCTCTGTCCCTCCCCCCAGGGCACACACACTCTCTCTCTCAAATAAATAAATAACATTTTTAAATATATATTGAGTCTTGATATGTCTGTCTGTGTATCTACGTGTCTATATTTGTGGTTGTCTCAGAGTTGCTATTGCTTCTGGCTTAGCCTTCTAGGTCATCATAAGCTTAATGCTTTTGGCCAGGAAAGAGTGATTTTATTTTTTTTAATATGATATCCAGATAGCAGTTTCCTAATCAGCTATAGTTATGTCATCCTGCATCCTTTTTAAAATTATTTATTTATTTATTTGACAGACAGAGATCACAAGTAGGCAGAGAGGCAGGCAGGGAGAGAGGAGGAAGCAGGCTCCCTGCCGAGCAGAGAGCCCAGTCACGGGGCTCAATCCCGGGACCCTGGGATCATGACCTAAAGCGAAGGCAGAGGCTTTAACCCACTGAGCCACCCAGGCTCTCCTGTCATCCTGCATCCTTAAAAAAAGTAATTTTCTTTGGTGAATCTTACTTGGTGTTAGTCTACTTCAGTGAGCTATGCAGCCCCTCTTGTGTATCCCGTGTTGTCTGTCTTACAGTGCCTCCAGCCTCAGAGAGAGAGTTGTGAAAAAATTCACTTTAGCACACTGATAATTTGGCTGTATTCCATAATTTAATTCTTGTTGCCCTGACTCTGATTCTTGACATAAGTATGATTTATATAGTATAGAGATAAAACAGTACTGTAGGCTAGGTATGATAGCTAGGGTAGGCCTGAGCCTTAGATTTGTGTAAGTTCTACAGCAGGATTTGTCAGTATATTGGTACTATTTCTGTCTTCTTAGTCTGGTTTTCCATTTTATTTTCAGTTTGTACAGTGTTATAAAATGTACTGTCTGAGTGGGTTTCTTGATAATTTTTTACTCTGCATAATCACATGCTAATATATCTAGTGCCAAATAGGTGTCTAGTAAGTGTTGAATAAAGACATGTTCAATGTTCACTGCTCTTCTATTTGCAGTCTCCATTCAAAGGATTAAAAAGGGTTTTCCTATGTTGAAAGACACAGCTTCAAGTTAAAGCTCATCTTGCATGAAGCCTGTTGATACACTGAGCTGATTTTATTGGCTACATTATCTTTTCTGTGCCCAGTAATATATTTTCACAACATTGTTTTCCTTTAGCCTGCCTACTTTTCCATCTGCTACTCTTGATTATTTTGGTCTCTAACTTAACTTGTCAGACTTTTATTTAATACCTGTTTCTCTCTTCGCTTCTGGGCCTTTTGGCTAAGATCAAGTGTAATACCTGTTCCTTTCATCTTTTATATACTCTCATATGCTGCAGTTATTCTGGGCACTACTTGTTTGTCTCAGATTATTTTGGTTAATTAGTTGATTTCTAGTCTATAAATTCTTTACATTTATATTTATGTGTTTATATGTACATACTTACATTTAACTTAGACAAAACAAAGTGTGGTATGCTGAATATACTCAAAAAAGTAGTCTTTAGCTAATTACATTTTTAAGTTAATGTCTTCCTTTAAAATTACCATCTGAAAACAGCAAATCCTGGTTGTTTCCATGAATTTTGACAGTACTTATCATCTGAAAAGGAAGAAGAGTTTTTAAGATTTCTGAATCACATTTTTTGTAAGGTTTCATCTCTAGTTTAAGCCTCAAGGTCACTTAGAGCTGATATGTTGGTAGGAAATGTGCTTTTGGGTTGTTTTCCAGTAGTGGTGATGGATTTGTGTCCAATCACACATTCTTACCTACTCCCTTTGTGACTCTTGGCATATCTTCTGAGGCAGCTGGCCAGAATTAGTGGTAGAAACTAGTTATGGAACTAAATGAAACTTACAGGTTGAATTTCCAACCCTGGCAGTATAATTAGGACCTT